GGAGGAATTTCTTCTCTGAGGGTTGTTCGTGTCTGGAAGCGGGATCTTTGAGTATATTTGAAGCGGAGTTGCTTTGATTTTTGATTGACAAGGGAGCTGAGGGTTATGGGCAACAGGAAGGGAAGTGGAATTTAGACCACAACCAGATCAACCATGGTTTGTGGAACGGCAGGAGGCTCAAAGGGCTGAATGGCTCGTATAGCACAGAAGCAGACTCTTCGGTCCAACTTGTCCATGCCGACCACGTTTCCCAAATTAAACAAGTCTCATTTGCCCGCATTTGGCCTGTATCCCTCTAAACCTTTCCAGTCAAGCACCTGTCCAAATATCTTTTAAATGCTGTAACTGTACCTGCATCTACCACTTCCTCTTGCAATTCACTCCACATATGAACCACCCTCAGTGTGGAAAAAGTTGCCCCTCAGGTCACTTATAAATCTTAAACCTATGCCCTCTAGTTTTGGACTCCCCTACCCTGGGAAAAGACCTTCACTATTCACCTTATCTATACCCCTCACGATTTTATAAATGTCCACATGGTCACCCCTCAACCTCCTGTGCTCCAGGGAGAAAAGTCCCAGTCTATCCAGCCTCTCCCTATAACCTAAACCCTCATTCCCAGTAACATTGTTGTAAATATTTTCTGTACCCTTTCCAAGTTAATAATATCCTTTCTATATCAGGGCAACCAGAACTACACTCCCCTCCTAGTCTGTATGTTTGCCTGCTATAGAGGATAAAGTGGGATAAAATGACAAAGTTTCAATATGGGATAGTATCACAACATTAACTTCTGCATAATCCAATTAAGCTGAAAACCTTTTGAACAGAATATTTGTGAGCTGATAGCGCAGTTTCCTAAAGTAGTTGATGTTCACAGTGAAGAGATATGTGTTTGTTTGTTCGTTCAGAGAAAGTCTCTGTTTGTACCCTCAAATCAACAGGCCTCCAGCTAAATAACTGCAAGGCAAAAGAGTTCAAAGATATTTATGGCACATTCAGTGCATAGATTCAGTTGTAGTTACCACTCTCATATTGTCCATAAAGACTTGACAATGTTTCATTGGTTTAGCTTCAGGATTCAGGTCTGTTATTTTAGCTAATCTTCAGATAAGGGCTACTTACAGCTCAGCTGCAGTCCTCACCTGTAGGCCATCAAGCAAAGTTCTGTCCATCTATCAACTTTTTTTTGGGGTCAATTGGACCTTTTTTTCAGAATCAAATTGGGTGTGTCCAAGAAATGACCCCCACATCATTGTATCTTGACTCCTGTAAGACCTATTCAGTCCAGTTTAATAAACAGTTGTGAGTAAATGACCTCTGTAGATATAATGAGAGATATCTCCACAAGCCAAATGTACAATAGATTCATGTTAACCCAAGTCTGAAGCACATTCATATAGAAGCTAAAACGGTCATATTTTATACTCTCGCATTAGAGAGAGAGATGACTGGTGGTGAGTTTAACTGGAGGGTCAGTGGACCTGAGGCAAGAGGAGAAGTTGAGAAGGAGAATCCTTCATGGTAACCTTAGTCAGTGCAGGAATTGAATCCATGTTGCTGGCGTCACTCTGCAGTGCAAATCAGCTGTCCAGCCAACTGAGCTAACCGTCTCCCAAATTCACGCAAATGTATGCATGGATACCCTTCCTCCAGAATTAGAAAGAAAAGTTGAAACTTTGGATATGATCATGTAAAAGTTGAGTTTCTAAGTTTTTCGGTAAGACATAAGGGGTTGACTTTTTTATGAATGTCCCAGCTCTGCTGGAAATCAGGTCCCCACTATTTAACGAGTTCTCACAGATGTGAAATTGATCAATTTATTTGTTAGGATATTTAATGTCCGACTGCGTCCAGTTTCTAATTTAAAAGCAACTCGCACTGGCTTTCATCATGGAACAAGAAAACAAATATTTATTAATATAAACTCTAACACGTTGCAAAAATGGATTATTTATACTAGTTTGCAAACTTACACTATGTCCGCTTTAATTTCAAGCATGACACACTCACCGTGCAAACAAGACGGATTTGGAGGAATATTGTGGGAGGAAAAGATTGGCAAAAAGGAGTGCAGTCTGGGGATCAACAGTCTAAACCATGGGAAAATGCAGTGGTCTTCTTATAGCTCTCTTCTATTTTTGGCAATAATAGCACATTGCTAGAGTGCAGGAGCAGAGATGTACTGCTGAGGCTGTATAAGGCTCTGGTCAGACCATATTTGGAATAGTGAGAGCAGTTTTGAGCCCTGTATCTAAGGAAGTATATGCTGACATTGGAGAAAAGCCGAGGACGAAGGACTTGTGTTATATGAGGAGTGGTTGAGCACTCTGGGCCTGTACTCGTTGGAGTTTAGAAGTATGAGGGGGGATATCATTGAAACTTACAGAATATTGAAAACCTGGATAGAATGGATGTGGAGATGATGTTTCTGGAGTGGCATAGCCTCAGAGTGAAGGGACAGCCATTTAGAACTGAGATGATGAGGAATTTCTTCAGCCAGAGGGTGGCGAATCTATGGAACTCATTGCTGCAAAAGGCTATGGAGGTCAAGCTATTGAGTGCATTTCAGGCAGAGATCGATAGGTTCTTGATTGGTGATGGGATTGAGGGTTACAGGGAGAAGACCGGATAATCGGGTTGAGAAACGTATCAGCCATGATTGAGTGGTGGGACAGACTTGATGAGCTGAACGGCCTAATTTTGCTCCTATCTCTTATAGTCTTATGGCAATCATCAGGTTGGTAGCTGGTCAGTTGGACCTAGGTCTTTTGCTTAAGTTAGAAAGCTTTCTTTGTAGATTCTTTGTATCTTATTTATTTTCCACTCGGCCAGAGAAAGAGCTCTGTCTTAGTTGCAGGCTTTTTGAGGCATGAGTCCCACTGTGCTCCTGTCATTTCTGTGGTTAAAAAAAAAACTGCTACTTAAAATCAATCCAAATGCTGTTGCTGGGTAGGCTCTTTTCAACACAGAGTCGTGTTGTACTAGCTTGTTTCTTAAAAGTACCAAATCCAGCTTCGGAAAAGTTACCTACTCTGAAGTTCATATTGTGTTACACAAGAGAACCACTTCTGCTCTGAGTTACGAAGAAGCAACTGGTTCTTCTTTGTAACTAAGCAGTCCAAATTCCCATTTTTCCCATTTGTATTTCAAATAAAATAAATGCTGTCCTTGCTGGAGTGGAACACTTTTGAGGATTTGAAATCCACTATCTCCCAGGGCGGCACGGTGGTTCAGTGGTTAGCACTGCTGCCACACAGTGCCAGGGACCTGGGTTCAGTTCCAGCCTCGGGTGACTGTGTGTATGGAACTTGTGCATTGTCTGTGTGGGCTTCCTCTGGGTGCTCCACAGTCCAAAGACGTGCAGGTTAAGTGGATTGGCCATGGGAAATTGTCCCATAATGTCCAGGGATGTGCAAGCTAGGTGGGAAATGCAGGGTTACAGTGACAAGGTGGGGGGCCTGGGTCTGGGTTGGATGCTTTTTGAAGGGTCTGTGTGGATTTGATGGGCTGAATGGCCTGCTTCCACACTGTAGGGAATCAATGACTCCCATCATTTTGCTATTGCAGATTTGCTCGCTAAGAGCCAACTCCATTCTCACAAGTTGCACATAAGGAGCATAGAAGTATTGAATTTATATTTTAGAATATATGAAATCCTGGTCTTCTGTCCTGGTCCAAAATTGTTTATTTTCATACACCATAAGTCATCGTCCCTGAGGACCATAGGACTGTTGTCTCATTAGGGAGAGATAGCTGGTGGTGGTTTAATCCGAGGGTCAACCTTCCTGAGGTGACAGAAGCGGTTGAGAAGGAGATTCTTTCATGGTAATCTCAGCCAGGGGAAGATCCACTTGATACTAGACCCCTACGGTCTTCTGCTGACGTATTTTGTAAACTCGTTTTCCAACTGAAGCCATGTGTACAGCTTTCCTCTGTTTGGCTATTTATTCTTGGGTATCTCCCTAGGTTGTGTGGAGAACTTTCTCCAATCTCTAACGTTTTTCTCTAATATCTTGAATTCTCTACCTGCTGCATGTCATTCATTTGCAGTTTAATTTAGATAAATGCGAGGTATTGCATTTTGCTAAAATAAACAAGGGCAGGACTTGTATAATTAATGTTAAGGCCTTGGGTGGTGTTGTAGAACAGAGCGACCTCGGTGTTCAGGTACATAATCCTTTGAAATTTGCGACACACATAGGTAAGGTGATTAAGAAGGCATTAAGCACGCTTGCCTTCATTGCTCGGACCTTTGAGTTTCGGAGTTGGGATGTTATGTTGAGGTTGTACAAGACATTGGTGAGGCCCCTCCTGGAGTACTGTGTATAGTTTTGGTTACTCTTATGCGAACAATATTATTAAGTTAGAGAGGGTTCAGAAGACATTTACCAGGATGTTGCTGGGAATGGAGTGTTTGAGTTATAAGGAGAGGCTGAATAGGCTGGGACTTTTTTCATTGGAGCATAGGAGGTTGAGGGGTGACCTAATACAGGTTAGTAAATTAATGAGGGGTATAGCTAGGTGAATGGCAGGTATCTTTTCCCTAAGGTGGGGTATTTCAAGATGAAGGGACATATTTTTGGTGAGAAGAGAAAGATTTAAAGAGAGGCAATTTGTTTCCACAGAGAGTGGTTCGCGTGTGGAATGAACTTTCAGAGGAAGTGTTGGATGTGGGGTACAGTTATAATGTTTGAAAGACATTTAGATAATGCATGAGTAAGAAATGTTTGGAGGGATAGGAACCAAGCAGAAGCAGGTAGGACTAGTTTAGTTTGGGATTATAGACTAGCTAAACCGAACGGTCTGTTTCTGCACTGTATGACTCTACGCACGGCAATTTCAATAACATTAAATTATGGTCTAATAGCAATTCTTATGTTGGTAGCTGGCCAGTTGGTCCTAAGTTTTTTGCGCAAGTTAGAAGGTTTTCTAATTGGGCTGTGTCTCTTCTGTTCCTCCTGGTTGCCATGTTGGCATATTTGAAAGGATGGATTAGTGTGGAAGGCAACATGCACCAGTGAAGTGATGGCCTTATCCAAACGTGTTAAAGTGCACAGACTGGAGGAGCCAACCACCCATCTCCAAAGGTGTGTTTTACCGTCATCCTAACAGGCTTCTGTCAGGGAGAATTTGGCTTTGGTAGTGACTGGGTGGTAAATAGGATGAATTTGGATCTTTTTGTATCTACAGTGTAAGTCCTTGAAATTCCCTTGTGTGCAACAAATATTGCAAAAATCAGTCTGACACAATGTTTATTCATTGAATATCAGAGTGTTTGTGTTCAGGGCATTTGTCACTTTAATTTGCAATAATGGTGCAGCTTCTTTGAGATTTGCTGAATTTTTCGTCAGAACTTTTTGAAACTCAATGGTGTCCGGACTGATTCCTAACTTTTTGGTGAGTTTAATTGTAGATTTTGGATTCCATCTTAACTCCACCATTGTCCTATCTCATTAGTGAGAGATGACTGGTGAACCTGAGGGTCACCACATCTCGGGCGAAGGGCGAGTTAGGGAAGGTGGGATCTTCATGATAACCTGAGACTATGCAGGAATTACACCTACATTGTCAGTATCACTTTGCATCGCAAACCAGCTGTCCAGCCAACTGAGCCCCCTCTCTGTTGCATTTTGCATTCCAGAGCAAGTGTTGCAGGTGTGCTGTCCAAGGTGAGAGAAAGTCAGCAATCGTTAAATGCCATCACTGCAGACAAAAGCCATGTCCGTGAGATCCAGGAGCACATTCATGTAGTGAAAAATGGTATTGATAGCTTAACCAATACCAAGGTAAGACTTCAACATTTCTGGATTATGTTTCCTTGGGAGTTTGATCTCTCCATTGTAAAGTGTGTTTGGACCAGGATGGGAGGAGTGAATTGTCATTCTGTTGTCCCAGTGCCCCCCAGACCACAACATAAACTTAACATTTCTGAAGAAGGATCCCAACCCGAAACGTCAGCTTTCCTGCTCCTCTGATGCTGCCTGGCCTGTTGTGTTCCTCCAGCTCCACACTGTGCGTTAACTCTGAGTCCAGCATCAGCAGTTCTTACTATTTCTAAATATTTTACCCAAGTCCTGATTTAGCCATATTAGACCTAGCTTTAAAAGATCCATTGACCAGGTTTCTTCAGTAAACACAAAATTAGTGATTAATAATTAAAAAAAAAAGCAAATCTTCCCAGTGAAGATGCAGCATTGGTTAGGGTTTGGCTTGCTTTGTGAGATGCTAGTATAACTGTTTACCACTCTATCCCAAGGACAACAACAATTCAAGGAGGCAACTCATCACTACCTTCTCCTAGGCAGTTAGGAATGGGCAATAAAAGCTGACAATCCTGAATTAAATAAATAAATAGCCTTAAAAACACACGCACCCTTCAGATAAAAGAGATAAAATGGATTTTTCTCTTCACATGTTCACTATCTTTTGTGAAAAACACACTTTCTGGCCAAGGTTAATTATAAAAGAATAAAGTCTATAATATCCTGAAGCCTGTAGGTCTTGTGGTCAAGTCACAGAATCCCTACGGTGTGGAAACAGGCCATTCGGCCCAACAAGTCCACACCACCTCTCAGAGCATCCCACCCAGACCCGTCCCTCATAACCCACCTAATCTACACATCCCTGAACACTGGGCAATTTAGAATGGCCAATCCACCTAGCCTGCACATCTTTGGACTTTGGGAGGAAACCGGAGAACCCGGAAGAAACCCACACAGACACAGGGAGAATGTGCAAACTGCACACAGACAGTCACCCGAGGGTGGAATCAAACCTGGGTCCCTGGTTCTGTGAGGCTGCAGTGCTCACCACTGAGCCACCGTGCCACCCTCTCTTACATCCATCTCTATCTTGCCTGAAACATCTAAACCCTGGAACATTCAGTTGCCAGTCAACTTCTCTCAACCAAGTTTCTGCAATTGTTATAACGTTGTAGTCCCATTTCCTAATCCAAGCCCTAAACTCATCAGTTTTACGTATTATACCCTTTGTATTAAGCGAAATACACTTCAGACCACCAGTTTTCATTGGCCTGGTCCTGCCTGTCCTTCCTGATAGACTCACTTGACGTAACATCGATCTTCTCAATCACTGCATGTGCTGACCCACCACTCTGGTTCCCAGCCCCCTGCCATACTAATGTAAACCCTCCCAAGTTCCACTAGCAAGCCCCATTGCAATTGGCAGCGGGTGCTGGATGAGTTGTTAATTTTAAATCTTAGACACACTTTTGTGAAGCAAAGTTATTAAGGGATTTGAGCCAATGACGGGTGTATAGAGTTAGGCCACAGATCAGCCATGGTCTTATTGAATAGCAGAACAGGCTCGAGGAGGTAAATGGCCTACTCCTGTTCCTATTTCTAAGTAACCTGTTATGGAACAGACCAGGTCCATTCAAAATATTTTGAGGTAGCCTAGACACTAACTTTTTGTTATTTTAAAGGTAAAAGTAAAGTGCCTTGTTCTAGATGCAATCCAACTGGTCAAACTACTCGATGTTAAACAAAACCATTTATTTAAACAGTATGGACAAAATACAACCAAAGAAAGAGGAATTTAGAATAACTTAACTATTGGAAAACTTAACCGAATAATAGATACAGTAACTATTGCTAATTAACAGTCCCAATTTAGTAACATCCCATAAACACACCCTCTGGCAAAAAGACAAATTCAGAAAAACAGATTTGTGTCACATGCAATCTAGCAGCCTAGGAAGAGAACCCCCAGCTTTTGGCTATAATCGAGAGAGGGAGAAAAATAGCTTCTACTTCTTCAAGCCCAAAACAGCAATTGCTTAAACCTAAACAAAAAAACTTTAAAAAAAAAAAACAACCTAGAAAACCTGCTCTGTGACAGCTGCTTTTGTTTTGCTAACTTAAAAAATACCCAAGGCCTCACAAGCTGTTTACTCTAGTGATTTTGGTGGACCGCTTGGTACCATTGCCTTACAACCTCTCATCAAAAAAACCCAGGACAAAATAACCTCTTAAAGCCACAGCACTATCACAAACCTCAGCACTGAACAGCATGCAGTTTTTAGATTCTGTACCATTACATGAATTGGTGATATGATAGATCAAAATGCCACAGTCTCTAACCTGGAATTATGGTCATTAAATTTGAGAGTGTAGAATACTCTACCTGAATCATAAATTACTCATGTTAGATAGCAATTGTAATGAACTGTATCAAGCATTGTATTTGTGGCAGAGTTCTTGTTGCACTGCTACACTGTGAGGAACATTGGAAGGTTGCTCTCAATCTAAACTGTGTAAATTATTTGTCATAATTGCTCCTTCCCTTTTTAACAAACTACTGCATCCCGTTAATTAATGTCTTTAGCCCCTCCATGGACTACTTTTCTGTTGCAACAAACTACTGTTTGTATTCGTAAGATATTGCCCACATTACTTATTCTGCATTCTGTTGAGGACACGGCATTTCCCCAGGGTGAGAGTGAGACTCAGACCAGTTTTTGAACGAAATTCACTTTCCCACGCAATCACCCCAGGGGCTTCCCTATAGAGGCTTCCTCTCATGAGAAAAGGAGATGCAACTTTGCCCTCCTTAAAGTATTGCCGCTAGGCATGCCAGATGTGCTATCAGTCAACGGGTCAGCTGCTCTGCAGAGTCACCCCCCATGACCTGAGATGCAGTCGCCTTCCTCAGAGACATGATCACTACACGTCTTCCAGTATGTGGGTTCAAAACATCCACCCCTTAAATCCATCATTTCACTCAGAACTGTGTAATAGCCAAGCTTTCAAAAATATAGGTGAGTGAATTAGAATAGACTTTTCTCCTTCCCAAACAAAACTGTCAGTCAGCAACTTGTCCTGGAGCTCTGGAGTAAAAAGTGTGCACTATATTCAAAACCCCTTCCACTCCAAACCGCAGCTACCAAAGACAACGTTAAAATTGTCTCCCGAGTATCAGACATCTGTTGATTGTAAAGGGTAACCATCGTGTTGGAAAGGAAAAGCTATATTGCAAATGAAATGCAGCCAGTAACCAACTATTTTGCAGTTAAATAACTGCACTGAGAGTGTTTTTGTTTGTGTAGGTAAGCATTGGTACATTGAACAGAAAGGAATCCTACAAAACCAACAGAAGGACAAAAGATTTCACTTCTTAAAACTTGCATTGTAACAAAAAAAATTGACATCAACCTCGTTCAAACCGCAATTAACAGGGTGTTTCAAATAAAAAGGAAAATTCTATCTGAAGTAGTCAACAGTACAAAGATACACCACAGATGGTTACAAGCACCCCTGTTACTTACCACACAAATGTGGTACCATAAGCAATCTCAAAGTCTTTTTAACCTCTGCTTTTGTTTTGTAGGATCTCTCACTTCCCATCTAGCTGTTTGAGGCTTGAATTGCATTCACCTAGAGCCTTATTTGATCTGAATATTATCTCCCCAGGACACAGTTATCATTGGCAGGAGCATTTCTACAAACTCTCTCGCACTGGGGTCATGATAATCCTGATGACAAATAATCCCTATAGGCTTCCTTTTCCAATCCCTTTAAACAGCCCTGCTGGTCTCTGGCATGACTACAACAGCAGCACTAGGTATTGACCAACCCATAATCCCTCTCTCTCCCTGTCTTCAGAGTTCTGTTCTTTCCAGTTGTGTAGCATACACAATAACAGGGCAGCATGGTGGCTCAGTGGTTAACACTGCTACCTCAGAGTGCTTAGGGACCTGCGTTCGTTTCCACCCTCTGGCTGTGTGGAGTTTGTATATTCTCCCTGTGTCTGCGTAGGTTTCCTCCTACAGTCCAGAGATGTGCAGGTTAAGTGGATTAAGCATGCTAAATTGTCCCATAGTATCCAGGATGTGCAGGCTAGGTGGATTAGCCATGGGAAATGCAGAGTTATACAGATAGGGAAGGGGCTTGCGTTTGGGTGGGATGTCCTTCTGAGGGTCAGTGTAGACTAAATGGACCGGATTTTATAACACAATCCTTTTAACATTCTGAGAACCCATCTGCAACAGCAGGATTTGCTTTATAACTGCCGAGGAGAAGACACTTCCATTCAGAGAGAGCCAGGCCTGAATATTTTTCCATTGTACCAATTGTCCGTGTTCTTAACCACCGACAGAAAACAAACTGACTGAAACCCCACAGTAGCTTTCTTTTTGCCCTGCGCTTTTTCAGCTGTTCACATTCATCGCCATGCCAACTCTAGGTCACTTGAACTTTTCTTGGAACCTAACAATATCATAATCAAGAGAATGCGTTAGCCTTCTTTCTAAGTACACCCCAGTGCCTTTTATTCTTAAAGGAACATTGCACAAAATAAATAGGCTTTTTCCATCCCATGATGAACAGTGGTCAACCTCCAAAAGCGCATGGCAGAAGAAAATTATGTTCATTTACAGGAAATTGGATTGCCTCCTTTTTAAAGCTGTGTTCTGCAGTTTTTCACCTTTTTAAAAAAAATATAAAATGGTACACTTATCCAATGAGTGTTGGCAATTTTTAAGTTCTGGGTTGTGCTTATATGTGATGAGAATAACGGCTTTTTATTGACAGCAAAATACTGCAAATGCCAAAAATCTGAAGCAAACTTAGAGAATGCTAGTGAAACTGAGCAGATCTGGCAGTATCCGTGCAGAGAGAAACAGAGTTAATGTTTTGACTCTGTTGTGATTCTTCTGCATAACGTTTGCAGAGTCATACTAGTTTCAAAACATTAACTCTATTTCAATCTTCACAGATGCTGTCAGATCTGCTGAGTATTTCCGGCACACACTCTGTTTCTTACTGCTTTTTGTTTTGCTGTGTTATGTTTCTGAGACTGTCCTAATACTCAGTTAACTCAGACACGGTGAGCTGTGAATTACTTCCATTGTTTCTGATTCTAATAACTGCACACAGTAATATGCCTTCATCATTTCTTTGCAGGTTCAACAAGTCAGCTGCCCGAAGGTCCCACCTATTCCATCATGTACTTCAGCTTGGCATTTCTTAGTATTCATTCTCCTCCAGTCTGTATTCTTTCTCTCTTACTTAATACACAGGTAATTGTTTCTGTTCTTGGAAATATAATTGCACTGACGATGTGTATATATTGTTCAGATAGGTAAAGGATGAGCTAATAAGCAGAAGCCAATCCTTAAGGCTTATGTACCTGGATCATTTGTTAGCAATATGGGAAAGTGTTGGTGGAGCTTGTCCTGTAGTCCTTAGCCGTCGGGTACATGTCCCATAAAGTCGTAGAGATGTACAGCACGGGAACAGACTGTTTGAGGCAGTATGGTGGCTCAGTGGTTAGCACTGTTACCTCACAGTGCCAGGGACCTGGGTTCAATTCCACTGCCGGGTGACTGTCTGTGTGGAGTGTGCACATTTTCCTTGTGTCTATGTGGGTTTCCACCGGGTGCTCCGGTTTCCTCCCACAGTCCAAAGATGTGCAGGTTAGGTGGATTGGCCATGCTAAATTGCCCGTAATGTCCAGGGATGTGGAGATTAGATGGGTTATAGGGGGATGGGTCGGTGTGGACTTGTTGGGCCAAAGGGCCTGTTTCCACACTGTTGAGATGCTATGATTCTATGAGACCCTTCGGTCCAATTTGTGCTGACCAGATATCCTAACTTAATCTCGTCCGATTTGCCAACATATGGCCCATATCTCTCTCAAACCTTCCTATTCATGTATGCATTCAGATGCCTTCTAAATGTAGTCATTCTACCAGCCTCTACCACTTCCACTGTCATACACACACCAACCTCTGTGTGAAAAAGTTGCCCCTTAGGTCCCTTTTTGCATGACACCAGGGTGTGAAAGGATCAGAATTCCATGAAGTGTTTATTTGGTTAGTATTACTGAAACTTGACTCTGATTGATGTGTGATAAATGAGCGGCTCAGTGCAATCATAAAACTTTGACAATCCCAACTTAATTTTTACTTTCCCTTCCTGTCATTTCAGCCGGGAGAGCATTTCATGTTGCTCAGTTAGACTTCAGATCACTGAGCCTCCTTTGACCTCATTTCCTAAAGCCCATGACCTCTACCACCCAGAACATCAAGAGTAGCAGGGCTATGGGAACACAGCCATGTTCTCCTCCAAGCCACACACCATCCTCGCTTGGAACTATATTGTCGTTTCTTTACATTCACTGGGTCAAAATCCCCAAACTCCCTTCTAAACAGCACTGTGGGTCTACCTACATCTCTCATATTGTAGTGGTTGAAGAAGATGGCTCACCACTGTCTTCTCAAGGTAAATTAAAAATGGGCAAAAAATGCTAGCCCGACCAATTCAAGCATGGAAAATATGAGCAACTGTGGATCATTTGGCTCTTTGAGTTTGCTCTGCTATTCAATATGATCATGGCTGATCATCCAACATAGTAACCTGTTCATGCTTTCTCCCCATACCCTTCGATCTCTTTGGCCCTAAGAACTATATCTAACTCCTTCTTGAAAATATTCAATGTTCTGGCCTCAACTGCTTTCTGTGGCAGGGAATTCCACAGGGTCGCCACTCTCTAGTGAAAAATGTTCTCCTTATCTCCGTCCTAAATGACCTACCCTCTATCCTTAAACTGAAACTCCTGGTTCTGAACTCCCTGGTAATCGGGAACATCCAACCTGCCTCATCTCTGTCACACAAAGAATTAAGAAGAATCTACAGGAGAGAAGGAATGGGTTTATGGTCAGGGTGAATGTCCAAGATCTCTGTTCGAAGTTGTGAACATGATTTACATGGACATAGAATTCCAAAAGCCTCAAATCAAACAATATCTGGGCTTTCCAGACAAATGGCCTCTTGCACATTGCTCTTTGTCTGTGGACCTGTATGAGACCACAACTCGATGCCTCCCGAGCAGCTGTGAAAGAGTATGATTTGACTTTAAATTTAATATTCCTCTGTGCTACCTTTATTTACTCGTTAGCTCTTAAGACATCAATATGGAAACAGTGCTTAAGTTTCAACGTGTTCCAGGCATCTGTTGACTTAAAGGACTATGAAAGTGTGACTCATCCAGGCTTATGATTTATTGAACTGCCTTTTCTGGGATGGGAAAGATTCCGTTGCCTTCCCTGTTATTGTCTACACAATCTGCACATCATAAATAAAAGGAAAAACGTAGATGTTTGTTCTCTGTTTAATTATCCACCTGATAATAATATACCCCGTTGTTTCGACATGTTATTAATGCCTCAAAAACTGTGCACTATTGAGCTTTTCCTCTTTGTCTGAGATTGGGTGATATAAGATGCTGAAGCATAACTCATGAGGAATCAGAGTTCAAATGCTGGTGCCTAAAATCTCGCTTGCCAATGAGATAATTGACAATTATCCTTGAGATAATTGAAGGAGAAATGGATTCCAGACAGGATGTGGCATTTCAAGGAACGGGAGGCGAGTTAATTGAAATGTATCAGATCCTGATGTGCCTAGAGAAGGTCAATGTCAAAAGGATGTTTCCTCTTGTGGGTGACTCTAGAGCTACAGGTCACTGTTTAAAAATAAGGGATCGCCCAGTTAAGACAGATGAGGTGAAATTTGTTTTCTTGTAGAGGGTTGTGAATCAGGAATTCTCGTCCTCAAATGATAATGAAAGCAGAGCTTTTGAATACTTTTAATGATGTTGAACTGGGGTGGGCAAGGTCAGAAATCACACAACACTTGGTTATAGTCCAACAGGTTTATTTGGAATCACAAACTCTCGCAAATGCTTCATGTGATGAAGGAGCAGTGCTCCAAAAGCTTGTGATTTCAAATAAACCTGTTGGACTATAACCTGATATCATGTGACTTCTGCCTTTTAATATTTTTAAGGTAAAGGTAGTTACTTTCTCAATAAACAAAGGGTTTGAAAGGTAGATGGGAATGTAGATTAATTGGATCGGCCATGATCTTATTGAATGGTGGGACAGGCTGTTATATTAGTACCTCTTATGATATCCTGGGCGAAAATGTGCCTTCTTTCAGTTCCTAACTGCCCTAACTCAGGTTTACTAAATCCAAAATAGACAAACTGTTGCATTATGTTGTTGCCATCTGTTAACACCATGCCCAGTTCCAGCAACTGCAAGAATTAAACCTTTTGCAGTCCATTTTTAAAGTCCTTATGAGCTGTCATAGCATATCTGTTACTGGGCTGGAAATCAATGCACTTGGACTCATAATCCAGCAACACACAAGTTCAAATCCTAAAATGGAAGCTGGTGAGGTTAGATTCAATCAATTAATTAAATAAAGCAGGAAGAACCAGCTCGTGTCTGCAATAGTGACCATAAAATAAATGGCTTTTCATTTTAAAACACAGCCGAAAATCCTTTCGTGAAGGAAATCTACTGGCCTTTTATGACTCCAGACCCACAGTGATGTGGGTGATTAGAAGTACTTTCTAAAATGGTCTAGCAAGTCACACAGTTCAAAAAAGCCACCGCCGACTTGAGGGCACAAAAGGGATGAGTAATAAATGTTGGCTTCTCCAGCAATGCACACGTTCCTGAGATTGAACAAATAGAACATGTAACTGAGTTGAATAGTTTTTCTTTTAATGTTCTAAAATGATAAAGATCTGTAAATTCTTCCTGTGCTTTTCTCGAATTCCTCTGCCTGATATTCAGTTCGGGTCAAGTAGCAAAAGAGGAATTTCAGACTGATTCATCGTAAACTTGCATTTTATTTTCCAAGGAAGTTACAGGGCACCAAAATGAAAAAGGTAATGAAATGTTATTGTGAGAGATAGAGCATGAGTGAGAGTGAAATTGATAGATTTTTGTTTCCAAGAATTGTTAGAGTTACAGAACCTAGGTGTACAGATTGTATTTAAGGCATAAACCATCCATAATTGAATTGAATGGCAGAACAGTTCTCACGGACTGAATGGCCTCTTCCTACTCCACGTCTCCTTCCATCCTTTGGCTATTAGTGGCTATCTTATTATGAGTTCTGTAGCTTGACCTTACACAAACACGTGCTTCAAGCTTAGTACTGAAAGCACTCGGAAATAAACAAATGTTTTATCTTTTTACAGGAATAGAAGAGAAATCAATTCCAAGAAATTTTTCTGAGGGGTTGCTGTGGAATCATGAAAATAGTGAATATAGATTTTTTTGAGTGGCGTTTGTGAATGAGTTTCTAAAGCAATTGTGTGCTGCCTTATACATGGTGTTTACGTGACTTTCTAAGTAGGGAACACCAAATGGTCAGTAGCTGTGGCCACTGTCATCGTATATTACTTTCATAGTGGAAATTATTTTTTTGAAATAGTCTGTAATTTGAAGGCTGACATTTACGTGAAATTACACGAAGATATTTTCTAGTCTGTCATAATTTTAATGTAACAATTGTTTGGATTTGTATGAAATTTACTCAGTGTTTGTATACTAAAACAGTGTTTGTTTGACCGAGATAACAAGGTGTAGAGCTGGATGAACACAGCAGGCCAAGCAGCATCAGAGGAGCAGGAAGGCTGACGTTTCGGGCCGAGACCCTTCTTCAGAAAATCTGCTTTGATTTTTTGTTTGACTGCTCCTTTTTGCGTTAACTGAAGTGATGATATCAACATATGTCCTAATTTATTTCAAACAATTCTCTTAAAAATGGTACATTGTAACACCTTGTACAATGAAATAAATGTCATAAGCAATCCTTACTTGGAGTTATTTTTACTTCTGTTTGGGTTTAAGGTGAGAGGGGTAAGATATAAAAGTGACCTAAGGGGCGTTGGAGGCTGAGAGGTGACATTATAGAAATTTATAAAATCATGAGGGGCATGGATAGGGTGAATAGCCAAGATCTTTTCCCCAGGTTAGAGGAGTCCAAAACTACAGGCCATAAGTTTAAGGTGAGAAGGGAAAGATTTAAAAGGGACGTGAGGGGCAACTTTTTCACACAGAGGGTGGTGCATGTATCGAATGAGCTGCCAGAGGGAAGTAGTGGAGGTTGGTACAATAGCAATATTTAAAAGGCATCTAGATGGGTATGTGAATATGAAGAGTTTAGAGGGATATGGGCCAAATGCTGGCATAAAGGACTAAACTAAATTAGGAAAGCTGGTTGGTATGGACGAGTTGGACCGAAGGGTCTGTTTCCATTCTGTACAATTCTATGACTCTATGAAGATCCTAAAGCTGACTTACTGATGCTTGCTGCTATCGCTATGAACAAAATCATTCATAAACTATTTTTATGCCGTCAGTACTATCCCACCCAACACTGACGAGGGTAGTTGCTTCCTTTTGGGAGTTGAGGCCTAAAGTACAAATAATGACAGGTAAAAGACTGCAAGCATTGAATAAAACTGCCCTAAATGTGGCACAAAATGATGACCTGTCAAAGAAGCTCAAACATCCTAAAAAGGAGCAATGATTCAAAGAAATTCAGTTGCGAGTAACTTTGAAGTAATAACTACAAGACTAGAGGGTCAGTTTAGCTCAGTTGGCTGGACAGCTGGTTTGAACTGAGTGACTTATTGTTACTTTTTTTTTACAGTGAGAAAAACAGTAAAATACAGTGAAAAGCTTTCCCAATGTCACCATAATCTGGTGCCATTTTGAATAATTCAAGAATAAGGAAAATGAATAGAAAGATGTTGAGTTTAAAGAGAGAACATCAGTCCTGAGCCAATTCGTCACCATGAATGAAGTCTGCACTGCCATTACCCCCTCCTCCTCCTCCTCCTCCCTGCTGACCCAAGTGGCCGATCCTCAGGCGCAATCTCCTGCTGCTGGGCCAATTCTTCCCTGCCACCGCCTCACCACTACCTGCGCCAGACCCACCAAAGTGGGAGTTGTGTCTCTTGCCTCTGGGCCCACATCAATGTCAACGTTATGCCCTTCCGTTGCTGTTTTACCAATACCAGCGCCAGACTCGATCAAAGTCGCCGATCCTCGGGCACCATCTTTCGGCGCTGGAGCTACCTTGCTGATGTTGTCTCTGCTGATGTAGCAGCCTCTGATTTCAATGCCAGCTCCAATGCTCAGAAAGTAAGTAAGGGCACCCTCAAGGTCCATGCTGGGCCCATCGTCCCCCACACCAGGCCCACTTGAGGTCCTCTGCCAATGCCATCTGAGCTCAAGAGGTAAGTAAGTAAAATAGAAACTAGAAAACAAAGCAAGAAAGTTGGGGGGGAAAGGATAAGGAAAGCAGTTGGAGCAGAAGAGCTCTGGCTAAGGACGCCTACTCTTTTGCCATCTTGCAGGAAAGTTTGTGATGAAGAGTGATGCTAACAGCATGGGTTCAATTCCCACATGGGCTGAGGTTACTGTGAAGGACGCTCCTTCTCAACCTCTTCCCCTTGCCTGAGGCACGGTGACCCTCAGGTTAAACTCACCACCAGTCGTCTCTCTCCAATGAGAGAGTAGCCACATGGTCCAGTAGGATAATGGTGACGTGTCAAATGAACACAGTGAAAATTATGCACGAGACAAAATGAGTGGCCGGTTAATCTGTTCTTTGGAATTCATTGAGGGAGTTGGTCTTTCAAAAAAATAACTTGCTGTTTGTTTTCAAGTGTTGTTATGTGAACTTTAATATTTGTATTATTCATTCACTCAATGGGATATAGGTGTTACTGCCTGGACCAATGTTTATTGCCTGTTGAGAAGATGGTGTTGAACTGCTGCAGCTAATGCTCAGTTGGATGCTCTTCTGAGGGGTGGTGTAAACCTGGTGGGCCGAATGGCCTGCTAGTCCACTATGAATTCTGCGATCTCTGAAGTGCATCAGAGTAACAGAACAGAGTGCAGAATACAATTCTACAGCTGCTGAGAAGGTGCAGAGAGACCTTAACGTTGAAGTTGAAGAGGTCCATTCAAAAGTCTGATAACAGTGGGGAAGAAGCTGTTCTTGAATCTGTACGTGTATGCAACCTTTTGTATCTTCTGCCTAACGGAAGAGGGTGGGAGAGAGTGTAACCGAGGCACGAGCAGTTCTTGTGTTTCCAATCAAGCTGAGTTGACACTTGACTGTAAATCTACGCAGCCACCTGGAATCACCAACTGTATTTAAATAAACAACAAAATCAGAAATTGCTGGAAAAACTCGGTAGGTTTGGCAGCATCTGTGGAGAGGAAGCAGAGTTAATGTTTTGGGTTCAGTGACCCTCCTTAAGAACTGGGTTCTGAAAAAGGGTCACTGGACCCGAAACACTAATTCTGCTTTCTCTCCACAGATACTGCCAAACTACCGAATTTTTTTTTTTGCAGCAGTTCCTGATTTTGTTTCTGATTTCCGGCATCCACAGATCTTTGTTCTTTTTTGTTTTAAATAAGGTCAGACTATGAAATGAATAAACAGATTCTGCCTACCAACTACCTATCATTCAACAGAAGATAAGTTCCAAAATGTAACGTTGGAACTGTGGAACTCCTGAGTAATAATGCAATCAGACCAAATTCTCCGCTTCCACACTGCAATAAGCGTACTGAAGCAATAGTCAATTAAGCATAAATTGACTAGGATACCTCCTCATATAGGAATGTGACCACAGAAAGGAGCAGTTGAAAAGTCAAAGTCTTTTTTATTAGACTATAGGACATACAGGACAATTGAATGGATGTGTTTGAAAGCAAGCGGGATGGGAGAGAATTATTTCCACTGATGGCTGTAGAATGAAGGAATGACAGATGGCACGGTGGCTCAGTGGTCAGCATTGCTGCCTCACGGCACCAGGGGCCTGGGTTTAATTCCAGCCTTGAGTGACCATCTGTGTGGAGTTTGCACATTCTCCCCGCGTCTGCGTGGGTTTCCTCCCACAGTCCAAAGATGTGCAGGCTAGGTGGATTGGCCATGCTAAATTACCCAGAGCGCCTCGGGATGTGCAGGCTAGGTGGGTTAGCCAATGGAAATGCAGGGTTACAGGATACGGTTGGGAGGAGTGGGGGATGGGCCTGGATGGGATGCACTTCGGAGGGTCAATGTAGACTCGATGGGCTGAATGGCCTGCTTCCACACTGTAGGGATTCTATGATAATGTTAACCGTAAAAAAAAATTAGGAAAATAATCAGAATTCATGCAAGATTGTGACATATTGCCAAAGTTGATACTTGAAGTGAAGACCATGTCAGCATTTAAAGTGTTTATGGAGGTGATAGATTTTTAGTTAGTAATGTGTTGAACGGTCATGGAGAGCAGGCAGGAAAGCAATGTTGAGGCCAAGATGAGATCAGCCATGATTGTATTAAATAGTACAGCAGGCTTGAGGGGCTGAATGGCCTACTCCTGCTTTTAGTTTATACTCTTAAAGTGTGAAAGAGTTGGGCATGGAAAGAAAATGGGCTAAAGTAATCTGGAAATGGGGCAGATAGCTAAGATTCTGCTTTCCAATCTGTTTTACGATGTAACCCCATTATAATGACAAACTTTTTATGGCTTCAGAGAAAATTTGGGGGTATTAGAGTTGTCAAGTGGGTGGGTTATGGTGGTGGGTTTGTGTTGAGTGGAGGTGAGGGAAAAGGAAAAAAAATATTTACAGGCTTCTCTTTTTATAGCAGCAAGTAGGCCTCAGTGAGCAGTCCCATGCCAGAACTGCTGAATTGAAAAATTGTAAACATTTAAAATTGCTGTCCCACAATCTCAAGATCTCATCTCTCAAACTCATGTGGACATGCCACATTTTGGCAAGTCTTGCTCTAAGATAAAGACTACCTGGAGGATAAATAGGAGAATGGATTGTGAGATGAATAACCCATTTCCCTGGTGTAATTCTGCATTCATTCACACCCAGTTCCTCCCATTTGCCTTGTGTCTAACTGTGACCATTCCTATTTTCCAAAAATGCCAACAAATCTCAACAGGAGGGCAGCACAATTGAATCATTCCCAGAAAGGCTGTCCTGCCATCAGTATTTTTGAGTATTTGCTAAATTTTGGATTCCTTACAAAAATGGTCCTTTGTTTACAGGTCAAGGAAAGCTACTGATTGCAGTCTGACAACATTCCCAGGACTGTTCTTGAAAAAAAACATGTTGGTCCAACCACTTTTTTTCTTGTTTATATATCAACATTAACTAAACTTCAAAATTCATTTGATGGCTAAATCCTGAAATACCCTGACGTTGTGTGTGCTTGATTTCGGATTTTCCCACAAGAGTTGGAAAGGAGATACTGAGGTTTCATTAAAATGGCCTGCAGTGTGGATCCCAGACCTTACTTGGTTTGGGTTGGACACGGGTTTGTGAGCGTTCCAGCTGTTTGGTCAGGACATCCATGGACACATCGCTGAGTCATTGGCTGCTTTCTTCAGACTTGAACTCAGCTCCCATCAATGGCCGCTTTTGGACCAGGATCTAGGCTGAACCCTTTGAATGAAATTGAAAAGTCGGAGCAATCCGTTTGAGCTGTACGCATGGTGCAAAGAACGTGGAGATTGAGTTTGGTTCAAAGGATGACCAAGACTACAAAATTGTTAAGGACATGATGTGATGAATGGAGATAGGATGTTTTCATGATGTGATTCTAGAACAAACGGGACATAATTCAGAAAAGGGGCAGGCCATTTAAGATTGTGATTAGGATGAATTTCTTCATTTAGAGGGTGGTGAATTTTTGGAATTCTTTACGCCAGAGGAAACTCAGTCATTGAGCATGTTTAATGCAGAAGTCCATACACTTCTGGATACTAATGGAACAAAAGTAAATGGCATTGAGGTG